GAAGTGAACGCTACACACGATCTGAAGTGAACACTACACACGATCTGAAGTGAACGCTACACACGATCTGAAGTGAACGCTACACACGATCTGAAGTGAACGCTACACACGATCTGAAGTGAACGCTACACACGATCTGAAGTGAACGCTACACACGATCTGAAGTGAACGCTACACACGATCTGAAGTGAACGCTACACACGATCTGAAGTGAACGCTACACACGATCTGAAGTGAACGCTACACACGATCTGAAGTGAACGCTACACACGATCTGAAGTGAACGCTACACACGATCTGAAGTGAACGCTACACACGATCTGAAGTGAACGCTACACACGATCTGAAGTGAACGCTACACACGATCTGAAGTGAACGCTACACACGATCTGAAGTGAACGCTACACACGATCTGAAGTGAACGCTACACACGATCTGAAGTGAACGCTACACACGATCTGAAGTGAACGCTACACACGATCTGAAGTGAACGCTACACACGATCTGAAGTGAACGCTACACACGATCTGAAGTGAACGCTACACACGATCTGAAGTGAACGCTACACACGATCTGAAGTGAACGCTACACACGATCTGAAGTGAACGCTACACACGATCTGAAGTGAACGCTACACACGATCTGAAGTGAACGCTACACACGATCTGAAGTGAACGCTACACACGATCTGAAGTGAACGCTACACACGATCTGAAGTGAACGCTACACACGATCTGAAGTGAACGCTACACACGATCTGAAGTGAACGCTACACACGATCTGAAGTGAACGCTACACCCGATCTGAAGTGAACGCTACACCCGATCTGAAGTGAACGCTACACACGGCCGCGGTTCTCGAAGCCGATGCGGAAGAGAACTCCCGTCTCTTCACCTGCACACACCGCACCAGGCACGAAAGATATACAGCGCCGTCCCTTTTCTTGTTATGGAAACCTGTGGACTCGATGTCCTGACAGGCCGGAGTTTTTGCAACCAAAAAAAAGCCGTTTTTACGAGCAGTCCAAGAAACGCTCACTTTATCTACTAAATTAGTGCCCTTATGTCGTTTTAAACCATTTTAAATCCTGCATTAACTTTTCATATGGTATTTTCATACAAGGTTATATATTAATTTAGATTTTTTTTTTTACCTGCAATATGCTCTTTAAAACCCAAAGACAATGTGACACACACTCACAGAGAAAGACTCACAGACACTCGTGCAGGTGCTCTTTCTCTCTCACACTCTCTCTCTCACACACACACACACTCGCGCTCACACTCTCTCTCTCACACACACACACACTCGTGCTCACACTCTCTCTCTCTCTCACACACACACACTCGCGCTCACACTCTCTCTCTCACACACACTCGCGCTCACACTCTCTCTCTCACACACACACACACTCGCGCTCACACTCTCTCTCTCTCTCACACACTCGCGCTCTCTCAGACACTCTCAGACACTCTCACACACACACACACTTCACGCTCTCTCAGACACTCTCTCTTGACACACTCTCTCTCGACACACTCTCTCTCGACACACTCTCTCTCGACACACTCTCTCTCGACACACTCTCTCTCGACACACTCTCTCTTGACACACTCTCTCTCGACACACTCTCTCTTGACACACTCTCTCTCGACACACTCTCTCTCGACACACTCTCTCTCGACACACTCTCTCTCGACACACTCTCTCTCGACACACACACACACTCGCGCTCACACTCTCTCTCTCTCTCACACACTCGCGCTCTCTCAGACACTCTCAGACACTCTCACACACACACACACTTCACGCTCTCTCAGACACTCTCTCTTGACACACTCTCTCTCGACACACTCTCTCTCGACACACTCTCTCTCGACACACTCTCTCTCGACACACTCTCTCTCGACACACTCTCTCTCGACACACTCTCTCTTGACACACTCTCTCTCGACACACTCTCTCTTGACACACTCTCTCTCGACACACTCTCTCTCGACACACTCTCTCTCGACACACTCTCTCTCGACACACTCTCTCTCTCACACACACACACACTCGCGCTCACACTCTCTCTCTCTCTCACACACTCGCGCTCTCTCAGACACTCTCAGACACTCTCACACACACACACACTTCACGCTCTCTCAGACACTCTCTCTTGACACACTCTCTCTCGACACACTCTCTCTCGACACACTCTCTCTCGACACACTCTCTCTCGACACACTCTCTCTCGACACACTCTCTCTCGACACACTCTCTCTCGACACACTCTCTCTCGACACACTCTCTCTCGACACACTCTCTCTCGACACACTCTCTCTTGACACACTCTCTCTCGACACACTCTCTCTTGACACACTCTCTCTCGACACACTCTCTCTCGACACACTCTCTCTCGACACACTCTCTCTCGACACACTCTCTCTCGACACACTCTCTCTCGACACACTCTCTCTTGACACACTCTCTCTCGACACACTCTCTCTTGACACACTCTCTCTCGACACACTCTCTCTCGACACACTCTCTCTCGACACACTCTCTCTCGACACACTCTCTCTCGACACACTCTCTCTCGACACACTCTCTCTCGACACACTCTCTCTCGACACACTCTCTCTCGACACACACACACACTCGCGCTCTCTCAGACACACTCTCTCTCAGACACACTCTCTCTCTCTCACACACACACTCGCGCTCACACTCTCTCTCTCACACACTCGCGCTCTCTGAGACACTCACACACACACATACTTCACACTCTCTCAGACATTCTCTCTCAGACACACTCTCTCTCTCTCACACACACACTCGCGCTCACACTCTCTCTCTCACACACTCGCGCTCTCTGAGACACTCACACACACACACACTTCACACTCTCTCAGACATTCTCTCTCAGACACACTCTCTCTCTCTCACACACACACTCGCGCTCACACTCTCTCTCTCACACACTCGCGCTCTCTGAGACACTCACACACACACATACTTCACACTCTCTCAGACATTCTCTCTCAGACACACTCTCTCTCTCTCACACACACACTCGCGCTCACACTCTCTCTCTCACACACTCGCGCTCTCTGAGACACTCACACACACACACACTTCACACTCTCTCAGACACTCTCTCTCGACACACTCTCTCTCGACACACACACACACTCGCGCTCTCTCAGACACACTCTCTCTCTCTCTCTCACACACACTCGCGCTCACACTCTCTCTCTCACACACACTCGCGCTCAGACACTCTCACACACACACACACACTTCACGCTCTCTCGACACACTCTCTCTCGACACACACAGACACACTCTCGCTCGACACACTCTCTCTCACACACACACTCACAGTCAGACACTCGCGCTCTCTCAGACACACTCTCTCTCTCTCACACACACACTCGCGCTCTCTCAGACACACACTCTCTCTCTCACACACACACTCGCGCTCTCTCAGACACACTCTCTCTCTCACACACACACTCGCGCTCTCTCAGACACACACTCTCTCTCACACACACTCACAGAGAGAGACTCACAGACACTCGTGCAGGTGCTCTTTCTCTCTCTCACACACACACACACACACACACTCTCTCTCTCTCTCTCTCTCTCTCACACACAGCTGTGTTTTGTGATATATGAGGACATTCCATAGGCGTAATGACTTTTATACTGGACAAACTATATATTCTATCCCCCTACACTGCCCCTATCCCTAAACCTGCCCATCACACACACACACACACACACACACACACACACACACACACACACACACACACACACAGCCCCTATCCCTTAACCTGCCCATCACAGGAGACATGCTGCATTTTTACATAAAAAAACCCATTGTTTTTTATGTTTTTTAAGCTATTTGAAATATGAGGACTCATGCAATGTCCTCATATATCACGTGTAAGTTGTAATACCAGTGTAATATGCATGTCATTATACACATTTGTGTCCTCATATATCACAAAAACAAAAGCACTCGCTCTCTCAGACACACTCTCTCTCTCTCACACACACACACTCGCGCTCTTTCAGACACACACACACACTCGCGCTCTCTCAGACACACTCCCTCTCTCGTCTCACACACACACACACACACACACACACTCGCGCTCTCAGACACACTCTTGTAAATAGAGTTAAAGAATGGACTCGAGTCCCGACGCACCGGACCTGCCGGCATCAAGAGAACACGGATTATACAACACACTGCACTGGGATCTTTATTTAATAATATTACCAGTTCCATATTATCTTTATTTAAAAAATAAGACGATACATGATTTTATTTTCTAAATTTGACTGCATTCTTGTCAATTTCTAAATGTTTACTTTTTGATTTATGAATTATAACAGACTGATGGGAAAACAACATTATTTTGCTGTTACTTTTTTAAAATTGGTTTTATTATTATGTAACAATTTGTTGATTTTTAAATTGGTTTTATTATTATGTAACAATTTGTTGATTTTTGTTAGTTGTAACTTTTATATAACATTTAAAATAAAGGTTTTACAACAACATCACCATCTTCTGTTATATGTGGGCCTCCATGCTCCTCTACTGTACAGTATATGATATTGGTGGAGGGGGAGGGGCCCACATCAATCCACACACACACACACACACACACACACCTATAGAGGACTTTGCACTGTGGATGTTGCAGTGTCTGATCTCAGACCTGTGTCGATTCTAGACTTCCTTTAGCTGAATTGATTTAATATTTTCCATATTCCCTGACTATGAATCCACACAGAGCGCGCGAAAGACTCATTAACAGGGAGTTTTATTCATTTCTATCACTGATTAACTCGAATCACCTGCAGCTGCAGGTGTGTCAGACTCTCAAGGACATAAAGACGAACACAACCAACACGATAAGAGTGGAAAACAATCTGGAATATAATAAAAAAAACACTGATAATTCATCACGTCAAGTTTAAAATGCGAATAAACTCACCGTTTCTCTCCTCAGCAGCTGATGTGAGGTAAATCTCCGCGTTTCTTTACTTCAGGTTTTAGTTTGGGTCGAGTTTTTGTGTACTTCTCTTAGTGTGTGTTATATTAACATGACATTAATTATTTTAAGTTTTAGTTTAATTCAGTTTAATCGAGTTTATCGATGTTTCATTCGTGTCTCGCGTTTCGCGTCCGTCTCCCTCTGCCGCGCGCGCACATCTAAGCGTGTGCACGAGGAAAGCGCGAGTCCGGCGGAACGTATTTGCAAGATATTTAATTAAAACGACCAATTTTTTTTATACAACTCTTTTTTTTAACCTACACAAGATTTTGTTTTGCACACAAGAAACATATGATTGTAATCGACAATCTGATAAATGATAAAGAAACGACAAATGTGATTAATACATCTACTGATTAAACGGATAAACAATAATATTTTTCAAAATATGTACAAGTGAAGTGTATAAGGGTTTTAATCCCATGCAAGAACTGATCAAATGTATTTATCTGATCAGAGAACACAATATAACCCTCTCGCGCACATAATCAATAGAGTTATTATTATTATGAGCTGATCTGATACAGTCTCGAGTCTGGGTTAGTAAACTCATGTGTGGCCACTGTAAAGCTCGACGAGTGTATGAGTGCTGTGATACACGTCTTTACTGTCATTAGTTGCGGTTAAATATGACATAAGGGTCTTAATTGAATATGAGAAATATCAATAAATGTGCAGCAAATAACAGAGGGATGTCTGTGGTTTCTAGAACACACTTAAACATGTTTAGCTGTAAACAGTGTGTGTGTGTGTGTGGGTGGGTGTGTGAGTGTGTGTGTGGGGTGTGGGGTTCAGGAGAAAGAACAGATTCAACACAAACATACTGTAGATGTTGTGACACAAACACACACACACTCTATCTCTCTCTCACACACACACACACACACTCTCTCTCACACACACTCTCTCACTTTTCTCATTTTTTTTTACAACAGAAATGAGCCGTCACTGAACTGGCTTAAGCTGGACTGTGACGCTTTTTTCTTCAAGAAACAAACTTTGTTGCATTATTTTCCTGTTATCACTGTAAAGCTGCGTTGAAACACTGTGTAAATAAAGGTGACTTGACTTGAATGTCAAAGCTTTAGTATTGTTCATCAAATCTTATTTGATTTCCTTCGTACTGATACTTTCTGCTGGTGTCTGTTTCCAAAACACAAGCCGTAAACCTTAAACAACCCACACCGTATCTACTGTACAGCGTCTGAAGAAACACACACACACACACACACACCACTGAGAAACGGTTTGACAATGACTTAATATTATAAGAAAACATGGAATTAATTTCCACTGTTATGCTGATGACACTCAATTATATATTTCATCACGACCAGATGAAAACACTAACTCATCAAAATTGACAGTGTCTTAAAGATATAAAATGCTGGATGACGCATAATTTCCTGCTACTAAATCCAGATAAAACGGAGGTATTACTTGTTGGTCCAAAAAACTACCCACAAAACCACTTACAATACAACTTTAATATAGAAGGATGTCCTGTTACTTTATCCTCTACGGTAAAAGACCTGGGTGTTATACTAGACCACAACTTGTCTTTCGAAAATCACATTTCATATGTTACAAGAACGGCCTTTTTCCATCTTAGAAACATTGCTAAATTACGTAACATGCTATCTGTTTCCGATGCAGAAAAGTTAGTTCATGCATTCATGACCTCGAGACTAGATTACTGTAATGCTTTATTAGCTGGTTGTCCTGCATCCTCAATAAACAAGCTACAGTTAGTGCAAAATGCAGCCGCTAGAGTTCTTACTAGGTCCAGAAAATATGATCATATAACACCAATTTTATCATCTCTACACTGGTTACCTATCAAGTTCCGTATCAATTACAAAGTACTATTACTGACCTATAAAGCCCTAAATGGTTTTGCTCCTGTGTATTTAATGGACCTTCTATCGCCCTACAATCCATCGCGTTCTTTAAGATCACTAAATTCGAGGCTTCTAGTCATTCCTAGGATATCTAAGTCCACTAAAGGAGGGAGGGCATTCTCACATTTAGCTCCTAAACTCTGGAATAGCCTTCCTGATATTGTTCGAGGCTCTGACTCGCTGTCCCAGTTTAAAACTAGATTAAAGACGCATCTCTTTAGCCAAGCATTTACATAATGCTTACCTTTTATAATACTGCTGAATCAGATCAACTGCATTTAATACTATAAAACTTGAAGAGACTGTAGGTTATCTGTATAGGTTGCATAGTATTTGCAGTTATTACGTTCCTGTGTATATTGCGTGAATGACGGGTGGTTGGGCAGATATTGTGTTGCGGTAGGTAGTATGCCATACGGAACCGTTGTCCACTGAAACTGCCTATTCACGCACCAGTGGGGCTCGACAGCCTTAGTCAACGGGTTGGCGCGTATGGTTGGGCTGCGGAGAGATTGTGAGATTGTGGTTAGGTCTCAGCAGCAGGAGGGACGTAGAGGTCAGTAAGCTGGGCTGAGTTGAGTGGGGGGTGATTTTGGGACGCAAGAGTCTTCATGTTTTATCATTTACGCCTGTGTTATGGAAATCATCATTATGAACAGCAGCTACGCTAATTATTTTCCCTTTTTGCTTTTCTGCTGTTATCTCGGGACGCGAGTCCCGAGAAAATGGCGTTCGTCAGCTCCAGTTTGTATCCAGCCTCTCACGGAGACTTCAGATGCTCCAATCACAAAGCCTGTGAAGAGACGACTCAACACGGGCGATATGGACTCTCTATGGTGGACGGCACTGATCCTCAACAACTCGTCCTAATACCGGCGTGATTACTTGGACTTCCAAAAGATGGAAATGGATAAATACTCTAAATGTTCCGATCCAATCTGACTTGTAATGCTGCCCGAATCATGCACTGTTCCTCCGTTGGCCAGAGGAGAACTGGCCCCCCGACTGAGTCTGGTTTCTCCCAAGGTTTTTTTCTCCATTCTGTCCCTGATGGAGTTTGGGTTCCTCCACTGTTGCCTTGGATTTTGGCTGCTTAGTTGGGGACATTTAATATTCAATAATATTATTGATCTGCCTTAGTTAAGGTGGACGTTGACGCAATTTTCTTTTAGAAACAAACTTTGTTATATTGTTTTCATGTTATCACTGTGAAGCTGCTTTGATACAATCTGTATTGTAAAAAGCGCTATATAAATAAAGGTGACTTGACGTGACTTGACTTAGGAAAGTAGTAAGAATCCTATCAAACCAGAAACACAGAGATGCTGAATGTCCTTCATCTCTATCATGAAAAACTTAAAGGGGTCATATAATGGTACATGCACTTTTACGAGTTGATTGTACTGAAATGTGTGTTGGCAGTGCCTGTACACAACCATCATATAATTTTTTTTAATTTTTTTTAAATTTAGTTTTGTTTTAACCCTCTGGGGACTAAGCCCTTTTTGGTCTGTTTTCTCTATTTTTACATTTGGGCTTATAAACCATATGTAATGGAGATGGAACACTATGTGTTTGATATCTATGGATTCAGAAGACCATAAGCTAACATAAGCATGCATGTAATGTGTTTATAAAGGAAGTATGAGTGAAAAATGTACAATAAACTAGAGAATTTCAAAAACGGAAATTAGATATTTGTCATTTATTTCTGAAAATCACACAACAATAGTGAACAGTTTTTGAACAAAAAATATATTTGTCAAAGCCTTTGCTTGACAGACATGTGTAATAGTTAAATAAAATGTGTAAAGAACAATGAAAAATGTAACTTTATTTACAAATAGTCCTAGGCGTTTTTCTTAGGAATGCTTAGAATTTTCTAAGGCAATGCTTTCTCCTCGTCACTCTCCAGTAATTGTTCCAGAGCTTGTTCCACCGTAAATCTTTACTGCTTGCCATCATAAAAGTGCTAAAACAATAAATAATGTTATATTGTATGTATATAAATATATATATATTATAATTGTTCTGTCTCTCTCATATTTCTCTGATAATCCGCTCCGTAAGCCTCCGTTCGCTCTCTCTCCTTCTCTCCATTCAACGCTGTTTGCATCATAACCCTAACTATATAGTACCACCCCTTGCAAGGCTACAGAGTCCTCTGATTTGCTAGAAACGTCATGGTAACCTTCCTCTGATTGGATAAGAAAAATATTTCGCCATCTGCAATTTTTCCATTGGTTGTTGCTTGCGGAATCTGTCAAACAACATCGATTTCATTGGCCCTTTACATAGTGGTATTGCGCAACAAGGAAGTGTGTATATTTACAAGCCGGGTAAGTTATCACTGTTTTCAGCGGAATCTGAGGAAGACGGTAAAAAAGACCGCACCTCTCTATCATTAATAGTTTTTAAGATATTTACACATTTGTAAAAGTATGCCATTTTGGGCGGTACCGCCCGATCCGTCCCCAGAGGGTTAATCTCCTTATATGTTTTCCCCTGCCTCAAATCAAGCCGTTCGAGCCTGTGACGTCACACACTCGGAAGCCCCTCCCACGATTGTTGATCGACAGCAGCGTTTCAACACAGACTGTGACAGACTGTGATTCAATCATAGTCTGCGCGGACCGGCGCGCTCATTGTTGATATGCTGGAGCACTGTCTATGAGCAGAATGGCTCTAAGCGATTGTGGTGTTCTGTTCTTGGGTGTAATAACGAACACAGTCATTTTAATGTTCCTAAATCCGAACCGCTGAAGACGCAGTGGCTGAGTTTAGTTTTCGAAGGGAATATTCCCCACGAGCAACGTCAATGCGTTCATGTTTGCGCGAATCATTTCTCAGCAGACTGCTTTATAAACGAGGGTCAGTATAAAGCTGGATTTGCTAAGAAGCTGCTCATGAAAAAAGGATCGGTACCAGATATTCGTGTTCCTGCTGAACCTCTAGAAGAAAGGAAGTGAGTGTAACGTTTTATTAAACTTTATATTAATATTTATATTAATCTTTGCAAATCGCTAGCTGCACGCTTCACAATGAATGAGTCTAAGGTTTACACTCAGGGTGCATTACGGCATGTTTTCTATGTACGACGTTCTCAATATAATTTATAATCCCATGTTTATACTGAACAACGCGTTATGGTTATTGTGTTACAAACGGTGTACGCACAGAACAGAGGGGCGGAGTCAGCAAAGCTCATTATCATTTAAAGGCATATGCACTGAAACGGCGTGCTGAAAACAGAGCTGTTTTTGACCAAGTAAAATAAGTGTTTTCTTACAATACTAATGAGAATTTTTAATTAAAGTATATTACAAACTTTTAATTTAGACCCTAAAGAATCATATTAGCTTGTACAAAAATGGCATTATATGACCCCTTTAATACTTTTAGAAAAAAATAACGAAACACAAAAAGTCAATTCAGGGACATTGAAGAATCCTTCGAATCCACAGTTCTGGAAACATTGAAACACACTAAACTAACCCTATCCAGAACTTGCTATCCAGGGCTACCCTAACCCTAACTATCCAGAATGGAGATGTTTGGATAAACACTTCTCCTCTTTAGTGAGATCAACAAAATTCAGGAACAAAAGCCCTGTGTGACAAACCTGATCTAACGCTGCCAGAGCCCTCCGACTCTCCAGTGACACGAGCCGAACTACTAAACCCTAAACCTCCAGAGGTGTCGATGGCCTCCAATGAAATGATCAAACACACAGACCACAAATTCAAATGAGCCATTCTCAAGCTCTTCAATATCACCCTGAGCTTATATACCCCGACATCTGGAACAACGGTCTAACCCAGTCCATAAAGCCGGAGACAGATCTAATAACTCCTGTGGTGTGTGTGTGTCAGCAACCCAGACTAACCTCTCTGCAACACCCTAACAGCAGATGAGCTGAATGAGCCCCGCCTCCACTCACTCTAACAGCAGACGAGCTGAATGAGCCCCGCCTCCACTCACTCTAACAGCAGACGAGCTGAATGAGCCCCGCCTCCACTCACTCTAACAGCAGACGAGCTGAATGAGCCCCGCCTCCACTCACTCTAACAGCAGACGAGCTGAATGAGCCCCGCCTCCACTCACTCTAACAGCAGACGAGCTGAATGAGCCCCGCCTCCACTCACTCTAACAGCAGACGAGCTGAATGAGCCCCGCCTCCACTCACTCTAACAGCAGACGAGCTGAATGAGCCCCGCCTCCACTCACTCTAACAGTAGACGAGCTGAATGAGCCCCGCCTCCACTCACTCTAACAGCAGACGAGCTGAATGAGCCCCGCCTCCACTCACTCTAAAAGCAGACGAGCTGAATGAGCCCCGCCTCCACTCACTCTAACAGTAGACGAGCTGAATGAGCCCCGCCTCCACTCACTCTAACAGCAGACGAGCTGAATGAGCCCCGCCTCCACTCACTCTAACAGCAGATGAGCTGAATGAGCCCCGCCTCCACTCACTCTAACAGCAGACGAGCTGAATGAGCCCCGCCTCCACTCACTCTAACAGCAGACGAGCTGAATGAGCCCCGCCTCCACTCACTCTAACAGCAGACGAGCTGAATGAGCCCCGCCTCCACTCACTCTAACAGCAGACGAGCTGAATGAGCCCCGCCTCCACTCACTCTAACAGCAGACGAGCTGAATGAGCCCCGCCTCCACTCACTCTAACAGCAGACGAGCTGAATGAACCCCGCCTCCACTCACTCTAACAGCAGATGAGCTGAATGAGCCCCGCCTCCACTCACTCTAACAGCAGACGAGCTGAATGAGCCCCGCCTCCACTCACTCTAACAGCAGATGAGCTGAATGAGCCCCGCCTCCACTCACTCTAACAGCAGATGAGCTGAATGAGCCCCGCCTCCACTCACTCTAACAGCAGACGAGCTGAATGAGCCCCGCCTCCACTCACTCTAACAGTAGACGAGCTGAATGAGCCCCGCCTCCACTCACTCTAACAGCAGACGAGCTGAATGAGCCCCGCCTCCACTCACTCTAAAAGCAGACGAGCTGAATGAGCCCCGCCTCCACTCACTCTAACAGTAGACGAGCTGAATGAGCCCCGCCTCCACTCACTCTAACAGCAGACGAGCTGAATGAGCCCCGCCTCCACTCACTCTAACAGCAGATGAGCTGAATGAGCCCCGCCTCCACTCACTCTAACAGCAGACGAGCTGAATGAGCCCCGCCTCCACTCACTCTAACAGCAGACGAGCTGAATGAGCCCCGCCTCCACTCACTCTAACAGCAGACGAGCTGAATGAGCCCCGCCTCCACTCACTCTAACAGCAGACGAGCTGAATGAGCCCCGCCTCCACTCACTCTAACAGCAGACGAGCTGAATGAGCCCCGCCTCCACTCACTCACTCAGAGATCCACTGGTTGGCGATCACACATTGATATGATTGGTTACAAGGTCGTTTGTGACGTCAGAAACACCAGCGATTTTAGAGACTGTCTTTGGTTCACTGCAGTTTTGAGGAGGAAATACTCAGCAATGCTGTCGACTTATGAACTTACACATGGTGTGTCTTAAAGCGTATTAAAAACACCACATAGACACATAAACAACATTAAAAACTGGATTTACACCACAGGGGGACTTTAACAAAGCTGTTAACCACGTGAGAGACGAGGCACGGAGAGCTTTATGCTATTAAGAGAAATATCAAAATTGACATGAACAGCCCTCCATCACAGAGCCAGAGAGAGCCCTCGGCCGATCGGTCCCAGAGCTCACGGCACAAACCAAATCATTCAAACACAAAAAGAGAAATGCCTAAAGCATTGGACAAACGAAACAGACGAAACACGGTACATTCGGATGCTATTTGGCCCTAAACAAAGAATATGAATTGGCAGAATACCCGAGTAAAGTGAGTACAGCGAGTGACCCTAAACTGAGTACAGACTCAGTGAACCCAGAGAGACACACACACACACACACACACACACACAGATCTCCCACTGCTCATCGCATCTCTTCTGCATAGAGAACAAAGACAAAAGCGGTTCTCATGACGACGGCTGTGTCTCTGTGAGGCGTTTGTTCTCGGAGCCTCTCGTGTGTCCCAGTCAAGCGGGTCCGCATGAAGGACCAGCGCCAGGACACAGAACCGGCCCGGGTGGAGGCCAGAGGCGCTCACGCGGAGGACGAGCGCGCACCCCCCCCCCCAGCTTCAGGCCTTTACAGCACTCAGATGTGCAAGAAGAAAGGGACTTAAAGACTTTTTTTTTTTTTTTAGATTTTAATAAACAAATAACAAAGCCGGCTCTGGGTAAATGAAGGGTTGAGCAGAGAGATGGACTCTGGAGAACAATGATTAATATCGCTCCGCAAAACAGTTCATTTCCTTCCATTCACACGTTCGGCTGGCGTCCGCGTTTCCAGGCCGTACAGCGCTAGCCTGACGCTATACAGACGCTAACGCCTTCTGCCTCGACCCCTCGAGAGCTCACGCACACTTTTACATTCACATGATCAATTTATGCATTTTTAGTTGTGCATGTATGTATTGTCTGGGTAGATGTTTCTGTACGGCTGATGTTTCAATATTAAAACTTAAAATCATAAACATTGATCAGCGAACATAAACAAGCATTGAGTTCACCGTGTGTGAGTGAGTGTGTGTGTGTGAGTGTGATGCTCTGTGTGTGTGTCAGTGGAGTAAAGCCTAGAGTAACCCAGTGGGTGATATAGAGTGACGAGTCTCTTCAGAAGCCTTGGATTACAGGGTTTATTTCAGCATCTCTTTATGAAGCGTCAGAGTTGAGGCTGAACACACACTCAATGGAGGGACAGAAATCTGTCCTAACCCTTCATTTGTTCTGAAGACGAACGTCTCCTGGGTTTGAACGACACGAGGAAGAGCAAACGATGAGAGCTTGTGTCTGTGTTTGATCTGAAGACTAACGCAACATGGTTGTATAAAATCCTTCATCCATAATGATCAGTGTTGGATCTCCAGTGCGAATCTACGTCAGAATGACGTTGACCTCGGCTAGCTTCGCGGCGGGGCGTCTGGGTTTGCTCTCGCGCGTGTGGACCCTGGTGTGGTTCTTGAGTTTGGCGGCGCTAGCGAAGGCTTTGGGACAGTATCCGCAGGCGTAGGGCCGCTGGTCGGAGTGCGTGCGCCGGTGTCGTGCTAACTCCGACGAGCTACGGAACCGGCGCGGGCACGCGGCGCAGGGGAACGGCCTCTCGCCGGTGTGTGTGCGCTCGTGCAGCGCTAGCTCGGCGCCGGTGAGGAACGTGCGCTCGCAGTGTGTGCAGGCGTAGGGGCGCTCGCCCGTGTGGATCAGGTGGTGTCGGTTCAGCGCGAAGGCCTTAGCGAACATCTTCCCGCAGTAGCGGCAGGGGAACGGGCGCGCGCCGCTGTGCGCTAGCAGATGCTCCTGAAGCGAACGCTTGAACTTGAAGGCTTTGCTACACTGCGGGCAGGAGTGCGGGCGTGCGTCGGCGTGCGTCTTGTCGTGTTTGATGAGCTCGCCGAGCGAGAGAAAGCGTTTGCCGCAGTGTGAGCACAGGTAAGGTCTCTCGCCCGTGTGCATGCGCTCGTGACGCCGCAGGATCGAGACCTGCGTGAAGCTCTTGCTACAGTGCGGACAGGCGAACGGGCGCTCGCCGGTGTGTGTGCTCATGTGTTTCTGGAGCCCGGAGCGAAGCCCAAAGCGTTTCCCGCAGAGCGAACACTGATGCGGGCGCTCGCCGGTGTGCGTTAGCTGGTGCCGCCTCACGTCGCTACGCCGCGTGAAGGTTTTCTCGCACTGCGGGCACTTGAACTGGCAGCGTCTGCGGTGGCTCTGCCGGTGAGCGGATCTCAGGATCAGCGTGTCGAAGCCCTCGCCGCACTGCTCGCAGCGGTAGGTGTGTGTGGCGCTGTGGCTCCGCCGGTGCGTAGCGAGCGCAGCAGGATTAGCGCTAGCGTCTCCGCAGATGGAGCAGTAGTGTGGCGGCTCGCCCGCGTGGCTTCTCTTGTGGTGCGCAGTTAGCTCGCGCAGGTTAGCGAAGGCGCTCTGGCACTCACGGCAGGTGAAGCTAGCCTCGCCGTGGATCTTGCGGCAGTGTTTGGTCAAGTCCCAGGCATGCTGGAAGGTCTTCTGGCACTGTGCGCAGTGGAACGGGCGCTCGCCGGTGTGTGTGAGCTGGTGCCGCTGCACGTCGGAGCGCCGCGTGAACTTGCGCCCGCAGGTGGAGCACGCGTGACGAGCGCGAGGGTTGTCGGCGGCCGCCGGCTCGGCTCTGCTGGTTCTCCGTGTGCGGGACGGGCCGCTGGAAGCTTCTGGAGCGTCAGAGGCGTCTGTGAGGAACATCAGAGAGAAATTCTGACATTGTGATGATGGACTCAGAGTTAAAGCTGCATGCTAGTGTGGTCAAAAGTACCAACTTCGGTACTGAAATTTAAAAAATCTGAGGCTTTGAACAGAATCATAAACACCTCTGATTGGCCGCTGTGTTCTCGCGCTCATCGGATATGTCTGTGATTGGCTACATCTAATCAAGTGTTCTAAAATTGAAGTTGATGAATGAAGCCCCATTTATGATCATTACTAAAATGTGTGATAATAACAGTCCCGCTAGAGAGACTCCGGCTAAACAGTGATTTATCACAGCGATCTGGTCTTGTTCTCGACTGATTGTTGTCGTTCTTCACTAGTAGCTCTAGCGGTAAATCATTTTAATCTAGTAAAAGCACAACTACCTCACCTTTACGGTCTCCATGTGGCGTGAGGGCACTCCTGAAACGGAGAAAATATTTACATTTAATCATTTAGCAGACACTTTCATCCAAAGCAAACAATAGAAGCAGGAGAACTAACAATAGTTAGTTAGACAATAGTTAGACAACAATATGCAAGTTTTTAAATAGATATAGAAGAGAAGAGAAAATAAGTGTTAGTGGAAGCAAGAATAGTATTAATATGCAAGAATATCTTGAATGAATGTTTGTGAGTGTTAGCGTCTCGCGCCACCCACCGCTGCTCCGGGCCGGCCGCCGCCGGGCGTTCTGGGGTTTTTACGCCCGTGGACTCGGGAGTTTTCCTCGGCCTTCCTCGCCCTCTCCGCACCGGGGGTTTCTGGGTAACGTCTGACACGGGCGCCGTGGTTTCCTGCAGTGTTATGATGTCACGTCCTGCGTCAGGTGTGTGCGTGTGGTGCTCGGGGCTCGGCGGGACGGGACGGTCCTCCTGCAGCCCGGCGGCAGGCGTCTCGGCTCGGGCCTCGTGTGGAGCGGCAGGGTCTTCACTCGCTGGAGCCTCGTCCTCCAGCAGCTCCACCTCCTCCATCTTCTCCTCCTCATGGCTGCGCAGCTCCACCTCCTCCATCTTCATCACCTCCTCCTCCTCCTCATGGCTGCTCAGCTCCACCTCCTCCATCTTCATCACCTCCTCCTCATGGCTGCTCAGCTCCACCTCGGTGTAGTCGGTGATGATGATGGAGTCGGGCTGGACGAACAGCACCTGATCCGAGGCCAGATCCGCTCGAGCCGATGGAGGGACTGAGAGCGAGGACATGATGCAGTCGCCGGAGGAGCGCGGAGCAGCGCCTGAGAGAGAACACACACACTCAGTGATGAGAATAACAGCATTATAAATATATGGCGTTATTTTTTTCAGTAACGAGTAATCAAACGAATTACCGTTTCCCCCGTTACGGTCAATAAAATGCGGCATTACTTGAGCTCACTGAAGCGGTTTCCAGAGTAGGCTCTCTCTCAGCCATAGGACTTACATATTTGATTTTTTTTTTTTTTTTTTTTTTTAAGTAACAATAGTTACTTTCCCTGGTAATAAGTTACTTTTAAAATGATGCAACTCAGTTACTAACTTGTGAGAAGTAACTAGTACTAACTATAACTAATTACTTTTTTTAAAGAAAAAAGCCCAACGCTGCTCACACTGAGCTTCCATTCCTTTCATTACATTACATGAAAAATACTTTAATTTATTCATCATACTGTTCATTTCAGAATGTACTAATACATTATAAAAAAATAAAAAAACTGCAACAAACTTTCTGTGATACAAACCCGGTAAGTTTATGATTACGATAATAAACTAATATAAGTTTGCAGCAGCTTTACGGCCTGCGTCTGTACAGCTCAAACTACTGGAGACTAATGAAGTCAAGTTACAGATGATCGAGTCCCGGCGTTAGAAATACAGTGCTATAATACAGTTATCTATAATGCACTTAATCTAAAGCACAAATGAAAGAGAAGTGTGTTTGCCTGTCTGCCAGCTGTGTGTGTCTGCGCTGAAGAGCCGGTGCTGCTGCAGGAGGAGCTGCAGATCTCCCGGGTCACTGCGCATGCAGTCCTCCAGGCCAGCGGGGGCAGGAGAGAGCCACGACACCGTCTGCAGCGCGGGGTGGGGCGGGGGGGAGGCAGAGGGAGAGGGAGAGGGAGAGAGAGAGAGAGAGAGAGGAGAGGGAGAGGGAGAGGGAGAGAGAGAGGGAGAGGGAGAGAGAGAGGGAGAGGGAGAGACAGGGAGAGAGAGAGAGAGAGAGAGAGAGAGAGAGAGAGAGAGAGAGAGAGAGAGAGAGAGAGAGAGAGAGAGAGAGAGAGAGAGAGAGAGAGAAGAGAGAGAGAGAGAGAGAGAGAGAGAGAGAGAGAGAGAGAGAGAGAGAGAGAGAGAGAGAGAGAGAGAGAGAGAGAGAGAGAGAGAGAGAGAGAGAGAGAGAGAGAGAGAGAGAGAGAGAGAGAGAGAGAGAGAGAGAGAGAGAGAGAGAGAGAGAGAATGAACACAAACGTTTAGTGTGTCATTTCAAAGAGTGTTTGTTTGAGCCGAACGGACCGGACGCACAACACGGGTTCAGTTTGGGGTGGAAAGTGTTTAAAGTTAGCCTGGATGCCAGCCCGTACCCCGCCCACAACCTTTTTTGATCGGGAAGTTCGGTCTGGACTCGCTCCATTGAGGAGTAATTATGATCGGTTCAGAAATCGTCGGGCCAATCAAATTGCCAGGGCGGGCTTTATACGATGATGGACAGATGATCTGCAGGACGTAATCCTCACGTTATCAAAGAGCGCTTAACTGGTTTCCCTCAGAGACGACTGCAGCTGGAGAACTGAGATGTAAAGATCCCGCTATCGCGTCTGTTGTAAAAGAAATCGACAGCGCATTCATTTTAAAAGACGAACAGAGAACTGCAATCAAGGCATTTGTCGATCGGAAAGATGTGTTTGCCGTCCTTCCTACGGGATTCGGCAAAAGTTTAATTTATCAGCTGGCTCCGATGGTAACTAAGAAGATGGGACGCAATGAAACCCTGTGGTCGTTGTGGTTTCTCCTTTGGTCGCACTCATGGAGGGCCAAGTAAAAGAAGCAACACTCGTTATTTTACTTCTTCCAGCGTGCGTGCATTTGAGTTCTGTAGTTGACAACTGTGCTATGCAAAGTAGTTGACTCACTGCGTTGCTCTCATTGGTTGTAGGTCTATCCAATTGAGTGCAGAGTTTTTTTTTTTCCTGGTTCGGTTAAGACACGCCTCATAATCAAAGCCCTATGAAGCAGTATCAGACTCACATTCTGACTAGAATATGAGTATGACGAAGTCAGGCTAGTTTAAAGTCACAGTGAAATTACAATGGACAATTATAGTTTTCTTTTATGGATTATTGCAGTGCTTATTCTAGATGATTTATCGGTGCACATCATCATTAGTGTTAATAATCTTAAATCAGAATCAGTTCCTCTTGCAGCATCTCTGCTCTGATGATGTGGGCGGGGCTATAACCTGTCACTCACATGAGATCAGCCAATAGCAAACCACAACCATCCAATCAATTCCACACAGACACAGTCAAGCCCCGCCCACATTTGCTCTTGTTCCTGAAGCGTTTCACTCGATATACGACACAATAGAGGAGAAGAGACCAGCGCAACTTCCCTTTCATGATGACTTTAAAATACGTTTGAAAGCTTTTCACAAGATTTAATATCTGGATATAGTTGTATCTGAGAAAGAGTCTGCACCTTCTTCAAGTCCGGCACAGGAAGCAGTTTCTCCAGGCTGGAGAGTAGATCCCACATCACTTCCTTCACCGCCGTGTCGAACCCAGCGCCATATTCAACAGGAAACACTTCCTGTGTGAAAGACACAGACAAGATGTTCACACACACACACACACACACACACACACACACACACACATACACACAGATCAGTGAAGGATGAACCTGATGTGTGTCTAACCTGGAAGAAATAAGCTTTCTCAACCGGGTCTTTCAGCAGCGCCAGAACCAAAGCTTTGAAATTAGTGACGCAGGTTCTCAAATCAGCATCAGGAGCCTGAACACAAACCACAGAACACCATCATTACTGATCAGACCAGAGAAAACATGACCTGCAGAATCTTTACAGCAGAATTCCTCTCATATCTGATGAAGTTTGCTTCATTGATTCTGTTTATTACTGTGAAGCTGCTTTGAAACGATCTGTAAAGTATAAAGCTGTACTGTATAAGGTTTGTGTATAGTATATAAGGTTAGTGTATAGTATATAAGGTTAGTGTATAAGGTTTGTGTATAGTATATAAGGTTAGTGTATAGTATATAAGGTTAGTGTATAAGGTTTGTGTATAGTATATAAGGTTAGTGTATAGTATATAAGGTTAGTGTATAGGGTTAGTGTATAGTATATAAGGTTAGTGTATAGTATATAAGGTTAGTGTATAAGGTTAGTGTATAGTATATAAGATTAGTGTATAAGGTTAGTGCATAGTATATAAGGTTAGTGTATAGTATATAAGGTTAGTGTATAGTATATAAGGTTAGTGTATAGTATATAAGGTTAGTGTATAGTATATAAGGTTAGTGTATAAGGTTAGTGTATAGTATATAAGGTTAGTGTATAAGGTTAGTGTATAGTATATAAGGTTAGTGTATAGTATATAAGATTAGTGTATAGGGTTAGTGTATAGTATATAAGATTAGTGTATATTATATAAGGTTAGTGTATAAGGTTAGTGTATAGTATATAAGGTTAGTATATAAGGTTAGTGTATAGTATATAAGGTTAGTGTATAGTATATAAGGTTAGTGTATAGTATATAAGGTTAGTGTATAGTATATAAGGTTAGTGTATAGTATATAAGGTTAGTGTATAGTATATAAGGTTAGTGTATAGTGTATAAGGTTAGTGTATAGTATATAAGGTTAGTGTATAAGGTTAGTGTATAGTATATAAGGTTAGTGTATAGTATATAAGATTAGTGTATAGGGTTAGTGTATAGTATATAAGATTAGTGTATATTATATAAGGTTAGTGTATAAGGTTAGTGTATAGTATATAAGGTTAGTATATAAGGTTAGTGTATAGTATATAAGGTTAGTGTAGTATATAAGGTTAGTGTATAGTATATAAGGTTAGTGTATAGTATATAAGGTTAGTGTATAGTATATAAGGTTAGTGTATAGTATATAAGGTTAGTGTATAGTATATAAGGTTAATGTATAGTATATAAGGTTAGTGTATAGTATATAAGGTTAGTGTATAAGGTTAGTGTATGGTATATAAGATTAGTGTATAAGGTTAGTGTATAGTATATAAGGTTAGTGTATAGGGTTAGTGTATAGTATATAAGGTTAGTGTATAGTATATAAGGTTAGAGTATAAGGTTAGTGTATAGTATATAAGGTTAGTGTACAGTATATAAGGTTAGTGTATAATATATAAGATTAGTGTATAAGGGTTAGTGTATAGTATATAAGGTTAGTGTATAGTATATAAGATTAGTGTATAGGGTTAGTGTATAGTATATAAGGTTAGTGTATAGTATATAAGGTTAGTGTATAGTATATAAGGTTAGAGTATAGTATATAAGGTTAGAGTATAAGGTTAGTGTATAGTATATAAGGTTAGTGTATAGTATATAAGGTTAGTGTATAATATATAAGATTAGTGTATAGGGTTAGTGTATAGTATATAAGGTTAGTGTATAGTAGATAAGGTTAGTTTATAAGGTTAGTGTATAGTATATACGGTTAGTCTTGTACCGGGTGTCCAGGCGCCGTGTCTGGAAGATGGAGTTTGTCCAGATGAGCTTGAATGTTCCTGAGATCCACCGGACCGCGACACAACTCCAGAACCATCTTCAACACAACAACACACAGTCACACACAGTCAGACACACAGTCACACTTACAGTCACACACAGTCACACTTACAGTCAGACACAGTCAGTCACACTCACAGTCAGAGACACTCACACTCGCAGTCACACTTACAGTCACACTTACAGTCAGTAACACTCACAGTCAGAGACACTCACACTCGCAGTCACACTTACAGTCACACTTACAGTCAGTAACACTCACAGTCAGTCACACTCACAGTCAGAGACACTCACAGTCACACTTACAGTCACACTTACAGTGACACTTACAGTCACACTTACAGTCAAACTCACAGTCAGAGACACTCACACTCGCAGTCAGACTTACAGTCAGACTTAGTCACACTCGCAGAGACACAGTCAGACTCAGTCACACACACACACACAGTCAGACAGACAGACAGTCAGCCACAGTCACACACACAGTCACACACACAGTCACACACACAGTCAGACACTCACAGTCAGACACTCACAGTCAGACACTCACAGTCAGACACTCACAGTCAGACACTCACAGTCAGACACTCAGTCAGACACTCACAGTCAGACACTCAGTCAGACACTCAGTCACACACTCAGTCACACACTCAGTCACACACTCAGTCACACACTCAGTCACACACTCAGTCACACACTCAGTCACACACTCAGTCACACACTCAGACACAGTCAGACACTCACAGTCAGACACTCACAGTCAGACACTCACAGTCAGACAGTCAGCCACTCACAGTCAGACAGTCAGACACTCACAGTCAGACAGTCAGCCACTCACAGTCAGACAGTCAGACAGTCAGACAGTCAGACACAGTCAGACACTCACAGTCACACACTCAGTCACACACTCAGTCACACACTCAGTCACACACTCAGTCACACACTCAGTCACACACTCAGTCACACACTCAGTCACACACTCAGTCACACACTCAGTCACACACTCAGTCACACACTCAGTCACACACTCAGTCACACACTCAGTCACACACTCACAGTCAGACACTCACAGTCAGACACTCACAGTCAGACACTCACAGTCACACACTCACAGTCACACACTCACAGTCACACACTCACAGTCAGACACTCACAGTCAGACACTCAGTCAGACACTCAGTCAGACACTCAGTCAGACACTCAGTCAGACACTCAGTCAGACACTCAGTCAGACACTCAAAGTCAGACAGTCAGACACTCACAGTCACACTCACAGTCACAGTCAGACACTCAGTCACACACAGTCACACTCAGTCAGACACAAAGTAACACACTCAGTCAGACACAAAGTAACACTCAGTCACACTCACACTCAGTCACAACACTCAGTCAGACAAAGTCACACACATAGTCAGACACTCAGTCAGACACTCAGACACTCAGTCAGACACTCAGTCAGACACTCAGTCAGACACTCAGTCAGACACTCAGACACTCAGTCAGACACTCAGACACTCAGTCAGACACTCAGACACTCAGTCAGACACTCAGTCAGACACTCAGTCAGACACTCAGTCAGACACTCAGTCAGACACTCAGTCAGACACTCAGTCAGACACTCAGTCAGACACTCACAGTCAGACACTCAGTCAGACACTCACAGTCAGACACTCACAGTCACAGTCAGACACTCAGTCACACACAGTCACACTCAGTCAGACACAAAGTAACACACTCAGTCACACTCACACTCAGTCACAACACTCAGTCAGACAAAGTCACACACACAGTCAGACACTCAGTCAGACACTCAGACACTCAGTCAGACACTCAGACACTCAGTCAGACACTCACAGTCAGACACTCAGTCAGACACTCACAGTCAGACACTCACAGTCAGACACTCACAGTCAGACACTCACAGTCACAGTCAGACACTCAGTCACACACAGTCACACTCAGTCAGACACAAAGTAACACACTCAGTCACACTCACACTCAGTCACAACACTCAGTCAGACAAAGTCACACACACAGTCAGACACTCAGTCAGACACTCAGTCAGACACTCACAGTCAGACACTCACAGTCAGACACTCACAGTCAGACACTCAGTCAGACACTCACAGTCAGACACTCACAGTCAGACACTCACAGTCACACTCAGTCAGACACAAAGTAACACACTCAGTCACACTCACACTCAGTCACAACACTCAGTCAGACAAAGTCACACACACAGTCAGACACTCAGTCAGACACTCACAGTCAGACACTCACAGTCAGACACTCACAGTCAGACACTCACAGTCAGACACTCACAGTCAGACACTCACAGTCAGACACTCACAGTCAGACAATCACAGTCAGACAATCACAGTCACACACTCACAGTCAGACACTCACAGTCAGACACTCACAGTCAGACACTCACAGTCAGACACTCACAGTCAGACACTCACAGTCAGACACTCACAGTCAGACACTCACAGTCAGACACTCACAGTCAGACAATCACAGTCAGACACTCACAGTCACACACTCACAGTCAGACACTCACAGTCAGACACTCACAGTCAGACACTCACAGTCAGACACTCACAGTCAGACACTCACAGTCAGACACTCACAGTCAGACACTCAGTCACAGTCAGACACTCAGTCACACACACAGTCAAACTCTGTCAGACACAAAGTCACACACTCAGTCACACTCACACTCAGTCACAACACTCAGTCAGACAAAGTCACACACACAGTCAGACACTCACAGTCAGACACTCACAGTCAGACACTCACAGTCAGACACTCACAGTCAGACACTCACAGTCAGACACTCACACTCACAGTCAGACACTCACAGTCAGACACTCACAGTAAGACACTCACAGTAAGACACTCACAGTAAGACACTCACAGTCAGACACTCACAGTCAGACACTCACAGTCAGACACTCACAGTCAGGCACTCACAGTCAGACACTCACAGTCAGACACTCACAGTCAGACACTCACACTCACAGTCAGACACTCACAGTCAGACACTCACAGTCAGACACTCACAGTCAGACACTCACAGTCAGACACTCACAGTCAGACACTCACAGTCAGACACTCACAGTCAGACACTCACAGTCAGACACTCACAGTCAGACACTCACAGTCAGACACTCACAGTCAGACACTCACAGTCAGACACTCACAGTCAGACACTCACAGTCAGACACACACTCACAGTCAGACACACACTCACAGTCAGACACACACTCACAGTCAGACACTCACAGTCACTCACAGTCAGACACTCAGTCAGACACTCACAGTCAGACACACACTAACAGTCAGACACACACTAACAGTCAGACACACACTCACAGTCAGACACACACTCACAGTCAGACACAAAGTCACACACACAGTCAGACACACACTCAGTCAGACACTCACAGTCAGACACTCAGTCAGACACTCACAGTCAGACACACACTCACAGTCAGACACACACTCACAGTCAGACTCACAGTCAGACACTCACAGTCAGACACTCACAGTCAGACACACACTCACAGTCAGACTCACAGTCAGACACACACTCACAGTCAGACACACACTCACAGTCAGACACACAGACACACACACTCACAGTCAGACACACACACTCACAGTCAGACACTCACAGTCAGACACTCACAGTCAGACACTCAGTCACACACACAGTCAGACACACAGTCACACACACAGTCAGACACACACAAAGTCACACACACACACACACACACACACACACACACACACACACACACACACACACACACACACACACACACACACAGTGTGACACACTGACCCGCGCTCTCAGGCCCAGCATCAGCTGTGTTCTCCGTCTGTATCCCAGCACCTGCGGCAGCGTCTCCGTCACCATCGACACAAACTCCTCCAGCTTCCCATAATGCACCAGGCTCTTCTGCTGCAGCACCTGCCACATGAAGGCAGACATGAGGTGTAGAGGAGGAACCAGCAAACGCAGAGACGCCAGGGGGAGCCCGCCTGCGGACACGCGGACACACACACACACACACACACACACACACACACACACAGTCAGTCACACACATTCAGAATCAGACACACACACACACAGTGTTAAAACTTCACAAAGAGAAATATTAACTTTAATGTGTTGTCAATTACAGGAGAGCCAGAAGAGGATCACAGAATCATCTATTGCAATTAAGTTGTAAAATGTATCAGAAGTCACTGAAATCTGCTTACAAAGGTCTCCAGAATACAGTTACAAAACAAAGAAAGTTTCAGGTCCAAGATTACAAAAAGGACAATGTAGAAGAAATAGCAGCTGTTTTTTAATAGACAAACAAACATTTTTGTCACGTACTCCATGCAAGTATAACACACACACACACAGTCGGTCTGCGCTGATTAGCGCAACAATGATCGTCTTTAATGATCCGTCAGTGAAACTGCACGCGCTGCTTCTGGATGTAATTCTGCCGCTGTTTGAATGATGAATCATCGCGGCTCTGAACTCTGACCTTTAGTTTCAGTTAAATCAGCTCTTTGTGATTTATTTACCTGTGTTTGTGATTTCAGCGCCGTTTTCTTCGTCCATAGGGATTGTTGTTGAAGCTTTACAGTGAGTTAGGCTCCGTGCGTGACGTCACATCCGGTCTGAAATATATAAAATAAAAGCGCCGCCATGCGACAAAACCGCACAAGAGTCTTTTTTTAAATCAATTTTAATATTAGTAATAATAATAATGAGAAGAAGATGAGGTTTTATATATTTTTAATACTTTTTTAATTGTAAATAATTGTGTGGGCAACAAAGTTGTTATAAAATAATATAAATAAGTAAACGATGAAGAAAAAAGGAAGAGTATATATATATAACACCAAAGAATATGTGTGTGTGTGTGTGTGGCTCACATGATACGCGTGTAAACAACACACATTAGTGTGTTTTTCAGTGTGAAGAGAGTCCTCGGTTTCTTTTCTTACATTTATTTATTTATACGGCTATACTGGCATCTAGTGGCGACACTGTAGTATTACATGCACTGCATTTCAAACACATTTGCTCTGTTAACTCTGTATTAATGGGAAATAAAATGAGATGTGTTTTATATAAACTATTAAACGAATTTATATAGAAATAAACTTGGCATAATTTAAAGGCGAACATGTATTCCTACACTTCAAATTACATGTTAGTTATAAAACATTATACAAGCTTTCAAACAATTTAAATCCGTTTATATTTACAATTTAAATCCATATATATTTACAGACTCGTTAATTCATAAGCTTCATGTCTCCGTCCAGTAACAAGCACATATTATAGCGAATATATATATGCTTATTACCAATGAATCCCAAATAGAGGTCTCTGCGGAACAACAAGAAGGTGTTTCCCAATAGGCTCTATGCACAGCTGCACTACTTCCTGAACTTCAGGCAGGTCCTTTGTTTCCTGTCTGACATTATTGGCCAAACTGATTAGTTCAGGTGTGCCTGACTCAGGCACACCTGAGGGGTATTGCACAAAAGTAGAATTAAGAAAGCCAGGATAACAGGCCAGTCCCGGCTTGACCTAGTTTAATCAGTGCATCCTGGCTTAATCCGTTGCACGTTTGCTGAGCCAGGATGAGAACGCGCGGATATGTCAAGCCAGGTGTATATAGTTTGGATAAATGCGCGTTCACGGCATTCTTTAAAACATCACGAAACCGATCACAGAATCACCGATCCGAAAATGGAGAAAACGCGTGCGGCATAGGCTACTTTTCGCCTAATGAGCAACAGCTTCTTATGGAAACGTATGAAGAAGTGAAACATATAATATGTAAAAAAGGCAATACAGCTGCTGTAATAAAATAAAGAGAGAATGCATGGCAAACAATAGCAGACCGATTGAATGCGTAAGTGTCCAAATAACCAGTGCTCCACTGAAACCCTCATAATTACAATTCAAGGAGTTACTTGTCATTTTCAAAAATAATTGTATACTTTGCATTAAATGTGACCAGTGAACATGCATTTAACATGAAGAATAATTGCAAACACTTACCCACTATGTGTATCTATTTAGTTTATTTTATGTCTATTATCTCTTTTATCTTTTTACTCTTATCTATTTGTATGTATAGGTTTCCGCAGCCTGATAAGCAGCCTGGTAACATAGTGAGTATTTCCTAAAGTAAATTTACATTATGCCAAAATTCTGCTATGCTAACTAAAAGGTGTTCACAGAATTCACAAACTGTCAGATATATCTACACAACGCATCTTAAGAGACAGATCGAGCTGACAGAAGTCAAGATTGATGTGAACAAAAGAAAGCTGGAGGACATGGACCTTGAGATGCAAATTAAACACAAGACACTGAGGAAACTAGAACTGGAAATCCAGAAACTAGAAAGAGAAGTAAGTGACTTCAGTTAATATTGTAACCATGACTGTAACACAATGTATTAATCTTTTTTTTTTTTTTTTTCAAAGCTCCAAGCTGACAAGTGATAACAGCAAAATAATAAAAGAAAAATATTCCAAAACCATTGTGGTCTTGTAACTTTTTTTTATGAATGTCAAGTATACACTTTATATTTATTGATCCAGTGAAGTGGAACTAGAATTTGGGAAGATAACCACAGTGTGTGCTACCGATTCCAAATAAAATGCATGTACACATGAAAAAGTTATATAGCCTACATTATCCTTTATTAAGAGGTGGGCTAAATCAAAACTAAATTAACTGAAATCATTTGCAATGTAAAAAACATTCCCAGAGTTGCTTTGGATGTTGATTGGGACAATGCTGCCATATTCCCAGATAACAGAAATGGTAGTCTTGTTAGAGAACAAGACTACCATTTCTCTTATCTGGGAATATGGCAGCATTGTCCCAATCAACATCCAAAGCAACTCTGGGAATATTTTTTCTCATTCAACAGTACATTTCTACTCTATACTTGCATGTATAGATATACATAGTCTATATTCTATTTCTCATATTGTATAGTATTGTTCTTTTGCACTGTGTTGGCATTCATTGTGGACAGAAAAGTTATAATTGCTCAGGTAAATCTGCTTGCCTCACTGGGTGTATGACAATACGCTTTAAATCTCAAATAGTATATATATAAATTCATCAAACCTCTGACAGTGAAATGAACAGCAGTTTTTTAATAATAACTAAAATTTACAGTACGCATACTTAGATGAATGACAGTAGCCTATATCTAGTATTTTAATGCAGGACCATGAAGTGACTAAAACATTAATATCTAGGAGGATTTAGGGAGGAACTAGCCAATAAATCACTAGGATTAATCTTAGCCTGGTTGTTAGCCTGCTCCGGAGCAGGCTAGCTTCAAAGTGTAAATCTCCATAGTAACTTAATGTAGATTAATTTAGCCTCCCTTCAAGCAACCGAGTCAGGGCTAAATTCAGCCAGGATACCGGGAAAATCCCAGCTTAATCCCTTATCTTGCTTTTGTGCAATACCCCCCTGAACTAATCAGTTTGGCCAATAATGTCAGACAGGAAACAAAGGACCTGCCTGAAGTTCAGGAAGTAGTGCAGCTGTGCATAGAGCCTATTAATGGGCGTTTTCAAACCGGTCTAGGCATTTTCCAACCATCCAATCATAACCGTACGGATTCGGAAGCCCTTTCAGAAGCGGAAATTTTATTATAGCACTTTCAGAAGCGGAAATGCGTTATTATTATTTCTCGGGTTTTTTCTTGATTTTTACTATTATGTCTATATCGCGACAACATTTGATTTATGTAAAAAATAAAATACAGGCTACAACTACCTATTTTCTTTAAAAAGGAATTCTTTCATAAGATATAAAAAGGAATTCTTTCATAAGATAGTTATACAAGATCTGTATCTTATAACATAACGGGAAATTTGGTTTATGAAAGAATTCCTTTTTAAAGAAAATAGGTAGCTGGATTTTATTTTGACATAAATGTTGTCGCAATGTATATGTAAATGTTGTTATAGCCTGTGAGTGTGTATTATATTTTATAATATTCTCTCCTACCTACATGCAATTTTCCTCTAAATGTAAACCTTAAAAGGTAAAAGTATTAAAAATTACTTTATTACTCAACTATTTATAATTACATTAGTTTTATTTTCGTTTTGTGTGTGTGTGAACAACACAACATAAATCAAGTTGTAACGGTGATTAACAAGGAAAAACAATAGCAATTTCCAATAAAGTTACCAAATCCTACTGTAAAGCAATGGTGAAAATTATTGTATTGGTCTTTCTCACCTGTATTTTTCAAAATATATTTATATGTAATGACTGATATTTAAGTGATATTTGTAGCTTACATTAAATGATATATAAAGTAAAACGTATTGACCTTTAAATTAAGGTAAAATGTGTTTACTTAGAATAATGACTCTGAAAACTTTAAACATTAGCATCACTTTATTGACCGTATAGATACTGTAACCAATATGATGAAAAACTGTATTGATAAATGCAGCATTCTCTATTTAATATAATAGTAAAAAAGAGAGCATCCAATAAAATAAAATAAGCAATAAATGTGGCAAGTTCAAACATGAGGAACACATTGCATGAAACATTAGATGCTTCCTCCAGCCACATAGAAACAGTCTCCGCAGTATCCTGGGGAGTCATCAGAGCCATAGAACCCCTGCAACACACCTCTTTGCCCTCTCCCTCTGTAGCCTTCGCCACAGTCTTTGTATGTAGTATCAAAATGGAGACATCTGGATAGACTGTATGGAACCCTATACAGGTTTCTGACATTTTCACTGAATGCCTTCCAGTTCACGACACCTAAAAAAAAAGTTGTCAGCTGACCTCATCATTGTCTTAATATTCAACCATACATAACTGAGAAAAACAGAGAGAGCTGTGATTAACCAAACAGTGACACTAATAAAACTTACTGTCCAACCACCGAAAGTGAGCCTCTCGGCGGAAACTTTCCATGCTCACAATGCTGTTGAAGCACCTGCAGGTGAGGGCAAGGGAGCCCATTGCAACATCACCATCTTGAAGCACAACCTCCAGTAAGATTTCACGAAGGACCAGCGGAGGAAGCTATACATGAACAAAACATAATCTGAACTTCTTGTGGTTATAATGATTCCCTTGCATTTTATAAATTGAGTAATAACAAATACATGCCTCCTGTATGTTCAGGGGTTGGTCAACAGTTGCCACTATGAAGGGACAAATGAAGAACATCAGTAAATGACAGTCAACATTTACTATAAATAATAGAGCACCTCAAACAAAATAAATCATACCAGTTTTGTGTGGCTTGTCAGTCCGCCTTCTCTTTCTTTGCTGGATTTCCATGACCGATCTTGATAAATTTATGACATAAAAACACATTAATAATACAGTATATCAAGTTTCATTGATCAGGTGCTGCTGGGGCCAGCGAAGGAGTTTGTTGTGGTGGATCAGGTGCTGCTGGGGCCTTATTTTATGCCCAGCTATATGGGCCACTATTTGATGATAATGTCTGGGTTTACATATTTGAGATGTGCAGAAGGGGCATGTGAATAAATTAGTATCTGCAAGGTAGCGCTGTGGTTGAGGCTCTTGTCCTCTCCGCTGAATTGTCATGTGGTGAATAGACAACAATTTCATCCATTTTAATTTAACAAGTTTCCTCCACTGTACATAATTATGTTAGTCTATAGGTTTGACTACACATGTGAGGTATTAATGCCTGCACTGATATAATGAAGAGTGTTGAACATTGACTAGTGAGCTGATCTCACAGCTAAAAAAGGTCAAATCATGTTTCTATTTAAATCTAGGTGTCTGCAGAGGTTTTTGTTAGGGTTATGAGATATAATATAAATAACAGAAAAATTATAAATATTACATTAAAATTGATATTAAAAATAATAAACTTAACAAGCAATGCTTTTTCAGCTTTTCTTGTTTTCTTACAGCGCACCTCACACTCAAACACCATTTCTTATATGAAGGGAGTGGTTTCTGGACTGAATGAAAACGTAATTTATCCACAAAAAAAATTTAATCGTTTTTAATCATTTTTAATTAGACAGAATTTGCAGTTAGATTAATGTGCACAACACTTTCCTTAAAATGTATTTATAGTTATTTATTTTTTTATTATTGTATTTATAGAACATATTAGTAGGCTACCTATATCCCCTGGTTTCAGAAACAATTTTAAAGCCTAGTCCTAGACCAAATAAGTCTGAGCTGTTCCAACTGAAATACACTTGCACTGACTGATCTTAAAATATATCAGTGTCTTTGTTTTGTCTCAAGATGAACACCAGTAATGTTTTTTTTTTCTAAGCACGTTTATGAAAATTATTTAAATGTCCTAATTGAACTATGGACTAATCCTGGTTTAGGCTAAACCCTGTCCCTGTCTGTGAAACCGGGCCATAATTCGGTGGAATAGCCCACTAATATTTGTTTACAATTATTGTTTTCTAGTCTGACAAGCTAACGTTAACTATTTTTTTATATTACAACACGCCGACAGTAAGCAAACTACCACTATCAACACTAAAGTAACAAACGCATGCACCAAAAAGTTAGCGAATGTTTGCTAATAGTGGTTAGCGATAGATTGTAAGTGGCAGACCTCTTGGAGCTTTTCTTAATCGTGTTGCAAGCAAGTTTACACAAACTAATTAGCGTTAACTGACGTAAAATGAGAATTTACACAAATCCACTTACATCCATATGCAGGACAGGTGACCTCTCTCCTCATTTCACCCATAGACTGTACCGTTTTCTCGCTATCACTAATATCTGAATATCTGATGGGGAAAGCGTATTCAAGTATCACCCACTCAAGTTTTAGCAAACCAGGCAGAGAGATTGTAAAACGCCTACCTGGTTGTAAAACGCCCCCAAATTGAGGCACGCCCCTTGTTGCTCTGCAGAGACCTCCTTCTCAATGAATGACGCATAAATGTTCACATATATTAAAGCGCCCTCTAGTGCTGCGCATGCGCAACTGCAGCATCGACCACCAACAACATGCGCGCGCGTCACACTCGAGAGTTCACCGCTTTATTTGTTTCGTCATACTTGTATTTATCAGTATGAATCTACATGACTTAGTTTAATGCCAGTACACCCCAACGTATTTGTGTTACTTAAAAATAAATAATGTAACAGTGGCTGCAGATGCGGAAGTGACGCGCAGACAAACAGCGCTTCCGGTGATTCGCCTTCTCTGCGGAATCATGGGTAATGAAGTCTTTCATCAGAGGTTCAACTCCTGGATTATTTAAAAAATAAGTTTAGATAATGCGGGCTGACGGCTTCAAGAAAAGCATAAATCATCGATTAACAATCTCGGAGCTCACAGTAGGGCTGTCTTTACATGTTTATAAGTTATCGCTAAAGATGTATTCCCCTATGGAGAAAACTAATGGGATTTTAACTTCC